AAGTATGCTACAAGATATGTTTTACCACCGACGGTCTTGTACGGGTGGATTATGTTTTGCCATCGACGGTCTTGTACGGATGGTACCACCGACGGTCTTGTACGGGTGGATTATGTTTTGCCATCGATGGTCTTGTACGGATGGTACCACCGACAGTCTTGTACGGGTGGATTATGTTTTGCCATCGACGGTCTTGTACGGATGGCACCACTGACAGTCTTGTACGGGTGGATTATGTTTTGCCATCGATGGTCTTGTACGGATGGTACCACCGACGGTCTTGTACGGGTGGGTTATGATCAAGCATGAACTCTGATTTCTATTTCTGATTCGAGTTTAATGAAAAATATGTATGAATATGTTTCTATTTATCCGATCCATTTATGCTATGGTATAACACGATATGAATTGATTGGTCTTTAAGACCTAATGATTTCTAGTATGAAACAAAGTGCTACACGGAACTAAGTGGTACAACGTGAGTCACCTCTAGGATCCGTGTGAGACACCTCTTGGGTTCATACACATATGTTCAAGGGTTTAATGCCAACTTTTTAAGAGCTGTAATGCCATTCTGATATGGGCCTAGTGCCGTTCTGGTAAAGGGCTCAATGCCACACTGTTTAAGGGCTTAAAGTCATTTTAGTTAAAAAGGGGCCTAAGGCCGTTCTAACATTAGTATAGAATCGGATTAACTACCTGCCTTTTATATTATATACGCTCTGCTTTGTAGTATAATTCAAGTTGAACATTTAATTATTCAAGTACTATTATTCACTGAGATTATCTCACTCTGTATTTTGTCTGATTCCGTAGGTCCTACGTTTGTCCTGCGTTTAAAGGTCAGCCTCTGTGTGTCCAAGCATTTGGGTGAAGTCTACCCGTTTTGTGAAGTTTTGGCTTACATTCTGATTGTCTATAAAATGTTGTAAATTCTAATTTTGTTTTTGTTATACGCCCAATCAAGGGGCGGGGTTGTATATGTGTATGTAATATTATTATCTATCTGTTTGTGATCCTGGCATGATAGTGGTCGCTCAATGGATGTAGCTCTTTTCTTGCCTGTTATTATATAGCATTTACGCTTCCATTCAGGCCCCATATGTTATATATAACAGGTTAAGTGTCTGTTTCTGAAGTGGTCATGCCCAAACTTCTAGGGGCGGGTTTGGGGTGTGACACTGACGGTCTTGTACGGGTGGGTTTGTCTAATCGATTCTGGGTTGTTTATTGCCTTGTTTTGTCAAGAATGTCATCCCTTGTATTATGTTGATACTAGTAAGCATCCCTTGAAGCTTTGAAAGACTTTGATAGATGAACTTGGTTCATCCCTTGATTTTGTACTAGCTATGATATGTACTGTTTTGATAAAGATCTCGGATATCATTCATTCAAACCTTTATTACTTATATCATTCACTGAGTATCCAAGCTCACCCTCCTTTTTATATATATGTAGGTGACGAGCAAGAAGGCGATGTTGCCTAAGCTTTGTTTGGAAGATGTTTTGATTCATGTTTTGCTAGCATCTCGAAGATTATGCTTCTTAGCTGTAATTCATGTCTTTGTATATTTCGGCTTGAGAAGCCTTTTGATCAAGATGTAATATGTACTTTATGCAATTTTGCAGTCAAGTTGTAAAACCATGTTAAGATATATGTCATTTCATTAGATCTAGGCACAGCTCTTACGGACTACTTAGATTTAAATTTATTGCTTCCGCACATGTAAGCCCCATGTATACTCTGATTATGTGAAACTTTGTAAGTTGGCCTTTGATAATCTCGGATTACTGGCCATCACGACACCATTCTACTAGGGGCGGAATGGGGTCGTGGCAGTGGAGCCTATCACGACACCGATGGTAGAAATGTCCCCGTCCCTAGTACCGATCCCCGATGAGGAGCCTATCACCACTCCCGCCCCCATCCCCTATGTAACGCCCTGAAAATAACAACATTAAACCCATCCTTATAGAGACATGCATTGATACATAAAAGTCTACATTCATCTATTCATCAGAGTATTTCATTACAAAAGTATTACATGGTTACAACATAAGCAAATGCCCTACGGGCTTATAGCTTTCCAAGTTAACACTTGGTTACAAAAGAGGGTACTAACTCAGTTACACAATAAGCCCTTGGCTTGAATTTACACGTAACACATCCAAAAGGAAATAAGACAACAAAAGTTTGTCCGTCTCTAGCCTCCCAAGCGATGTCCTTGGAGGTGGCATGCTACCTGTACCTGAAAATGATGTTCCTATATAGGGTGAGCCACAGCCCAGTAGAAATATACTAAACCAACTATGAACAATGCCTAAACGATTAGCAACTGATAGATGGTCAATACTTACACTTCCATTTTCATCTTATTACAATTCCATGACAGTCGAGTCTATGTTACAATTCACTTTCCATTTCTTATTCAACTTGAGTTTGAAAACAAGGTTCAGTACTCTGGCCAAAACATTTGATGAGATTAAAGTTCATCACTAAGACACTTTCGAAGTCCAAGGTGGATACACATTTTGGTGTTATATCAATAACACATAAACTACTTCCATACTTCGCAAACAATGATGATATACATTTTAGTGCTATATCAAATTGTTCCCCTCGAGTTTCTCTTGGGTTTGGTGCCTTTTCCCGGGCTTTGACTTTTTCTCCCATTTTCTCTCTCACAGGGTTCACTTTATTTGACTTTTAGCATTTTCCACCCATTTTCCTCATTTTCGCCCACTTTTTCATCTCCTTTCTAGATGGCGGATGACATTCCACATGACGGAGCTTCCCCGGGGACGGGGGTGGATCCCGAGCATGTACCATTACCACCCAGGGTTTGACCCTTTGACCCAGAGACATATCACCCTGAGATGCATGTGTTGTCACCCGATACTATTCGTCGTTTCAGAGGTTTTGCACGAGGCGTGCCAGAGGATCTCTTGCTGTGAGAGCTGGAGTCTTATTTATCCTACGGCGCCACCAAGGTATACACTATCTTCTTACATTTTTCGCAATGCACATTGCATTTCTTGCATAGATCATGCTTACGCTGTCTTTCATCTGTTTATCTCAAACACATTCTTGCACTGTATGTCTTACGCTACCTTCTCACACACATTCTGATTACAGGAGGACTCTCACTCTATCCGAGGATACAGAGCCACATCTGCGAGGGAGTGGTATATGGACCTCCTTGTTGGCGTTCGCCAGATTATCGATGAGGCCAAATTCAGCTTATTCTGCACGGGGCTATCGCGTCTCATAGCGAGTAGGCCCTTACTTGGCACACTGGTAGAGAGGTGGTGGGACACCACAAACTCTTTCCACTTCTCTACCATGGGAGACATGACGATGACCCCCTATGACTTTGTTATGCTCACTAGCATCGAGGTAGGGGATTGGCCGATCCCTTATGATACAGACATAGGCGAGTGGGAGGCCGCTTGTATCTACCTGCTGGGGCACGCCCACCTCTTTTTCGATCAGGAATGGTTCGATATACTTGGTTTGCGGATCATTTTAGAGGGACAGAGCCAGAGACCCTAGAGGAGATCGAGCAGTACGCCCGAGGCTTCTTGATGTTCCTCTTTGGCACCACTTTGTTTGCCAACAGAGCGAACACAGTCGGGCTATATCTCTTGAGTGCCTTGGTGGACTTGTCTCGGGTTCGGCTTTACGGCTGGGGGTCGTTGGCCTCGCTACCTTGTATGGCTACATGAGCTCGACATCCCGCAGGAGCGGGAACAGAGGCGGCGGCTACTGGAGAGCCTGGGAGGTATGCTTTACTTTTCTGCTTTGCATTTCCTGCTATGCTTTCTGCTTTGCACTTTCTGTACACTGCATAGACATAGTCTGATCTCTGCTTTGCATTTGTACTTTTTTGTACGTTGCACTATACATTCTGCTTTCTACATCCTCACTGCGTTCTGCATTCTCTGCATATTGCACACTTATTCTGCTTTCCGCATTACCTATGTTTATCTGTTGTATACTCACTGTCACCCTTTTGCTTTTTGCAGCTATGGGTATATGTATATTTTCCAACCCTTGCCCTAGAGCCGGAGATGAAGATGCCTCCTGTTGTACCTTACTCTCATCAGTACGACGGTAGGTGCGTGAGGAGGACCAGGGAGTCCTTCTCATTCTTCTACCGGTTTTACTTCAGCTTTGATTCATATTGCATATCTAATGGCAACTAACAATCTGTGTATTTACTGTCTGTAGATCTCGGGGCAGCCCTAGGTGGCGATGCCTGAGGGTGTCAGGTACCAGTTTGCTGGCGCTTGGGGCACTTCCTGTTACTGGCTTGAACTCAAGGGACCAGTAGGCTGAGACTGGTTCTTAAGCGAGTGCTTCTTACGCCAAACCTTGGGTTTGCCGTTGTAGGCGGTTCCCATGCTATCTCCGCCATCCATGCGGGCTATAGAGAGTCTCTCCTCCCAGAAGGTGATCTACTTTACACGATGCGTGGATGCCGACTACTTTCTTGGAGAGGGGGACTATACGACATTTATCCAGACGCATCTAACGCCTTCCTTGACGGGTACTCGTGCTCGAGTAGGGAGAGCTGCAGACGTCCCTTCGACGAGCATGGCTCAAGCATCGAGGGGTAAGGTCAGAGGGGTGCCTCCTGCTAGACAGAGCTTCGATTGGCCAGAGCTTCCGACTGAGTTGACAAGTTGGCGGTACACCCACTTCCTGTTACTGGCTTGTACTCAAGGGACCAGTAGGCTGAGACTGGTTCTTAAGTGAGTGCTTCTTACGCCAAACCTTGGGTTTGCCGTTGTAGGCGGTTCCCATGCTATCTCCGCCATCCATGCGGGCTATAGAGAGTCTATCCTCCCAGGAGGTGATCTACTTTACACGATGCGTGGATGTCGACTACTTTCTTGGAGAGGGGGACTATACGACATATATCCAGACGCATCTAACGCCTTCCTTGACGGGTACTCGTGCTCGAGTAGGGAGAGCTGCAGACGTCCCTTCGACGAGCATGGCTCAAGCATCGAGGGGTAAGGTCAGAGGGGTGCCTCCTGCTAGACAGAGCTTCGATTGGCCAGAGCTTCCGACTGAGTTGACAAGTTGGCGGTACACCGAAGAGGCTTACCGGATTCTGATTGAGCCTCCGGTGGCTGGTCATAGACATGTCAGAGCTCCTGACTCACCTCCGGTATGTACCACAGTTTTCATTTTTCATTTTCTTCTCAGATATTCATTCTTAAAAACATTGATCATTCCCAATACATTTGCAGGCACCCGCAGGGTACACCGAGGGACTACTCGAGATGTTGGCCTTATTCGAGGGTATGAGCTTGAGGAGGGAGGCGCTGCTCAGTCTTCACGGTATTCAGGTATTTTCTTCAGTTTTCTTGTATCCCAGTCATCACATTTACACTGACATACTGAAACTGACATGAGAACTTCCCCATACTGCACTAATACACTGCGTTGGCATATTGCAGTTTCATATTGTATTCATACTCTGTACCTGACCTCTGCATGTACTCATTCTGCACACCATACTTGCATCTGATACACATACTATGGCTGACATATATTAACTACCTTTTTAGGTCCCACCTCTACCAACAGCACCGGCGACAGCAGCAGCAGAACCATTAGTACCCCCTCTAACAACAGAGAGAAAGAGATAGGTTCTAGCGCGCGGCCGAGTCCGAGCTAGGAGCACCCGAGCTGAGAGTGGCCCTTCAGAGCCTATTTTGAACGAGGATGATATAGAGACCAGTGAGGCCGAGGAGGTTGTGGGTCAGCACATCGAGTCATCCCAGACTGAAGACGATGATGCTGGCTCAGATTCTGCTAGTGGTGATGCTGATGCCAATGAGGGCTCCGAGGCAAAGGGTGACGACAATTCTGGTTTCGATTCTGATTCAGCATCTGGTTCAAATAGCGGTGCAGATGGAGACAGCTTTATAGAGTCCGTTCTGCCAAGGAAGAGGACGAAGAGGGCCTCTAGAGCTTGAGATAGCTGGCGCTAATTTTTGTATTTTTGCTTCGTTTCTTGTTGTTAGTAGTGTTGACACTTTGTACTGCTTAGACAGTTTTATTTTGCTTTAAAACTTGTACTTTTTGTAAAAAATAACCATGATCGGAATGAAAATCAATCTTTTTGACAAAAAAGTGTTGTATTTTACATTCTGAGCACTGCATAGCATCGCATAGCATAAAAACAAGTTTGATCTTGATTGAATATTGCACATTGTATTGGCACTTTCTTAATCAGGTAATGAACCGACTAACAACAAAACAAGAAAAACGATGTACAACTCGATAAATAATCAAGTAATACGTAACTTGATAAACAACCACGCAATATACAACAACTCGATAAACAAGACAAATACAACTTGATAAGCAAAACAAGACAAATACAACTCGATAAACAAATTGAAACAAACGGCTCAACTAACTAAAATAGGACAACACAACGCATAAAGTGCAGAACAAAACACATGTTCTCAGCACTCTCGACATAGGAAGATCACAGGACAAACAAGAACACTGCCGGCCATGAACAAAGGCTGTTGGCCACCAGTGGTGGCTGGTCGGCTACAAAAGGTGGTTGTCGGCCATCACCACTGGCCGGTCGGTCATTAGTGTGAGGACCACCAGATTGTTGCCACCTGTCTTCCACTCAGTGCCTTATCTTTTACAAAAGTTGGGACTTCGTAGTTTCTTCATTTTAGCTTTGTTTTTTGCCACAAATGGAGCCATTCTTTACCAAAAAAATCTCAAATTAGATTGCAACTTTAGATGGCTCGGAAAAAGTGGAATTTTGGGGTTTCGGGATAAATGCACTATTCCCTCTAAGTCATTCTCCACTGTGTTTTACTTTCCTTCAGACCGCGGCTAGGTGTCGGAACCCGGTTACACATGTTTTCAGCTTTGGGGGGCAAGAGATATGCCCTACAATTAAAGAATTCCAAGTTTTTATGGAATCCCGGTGTGACGAGGAAATCTTGCCCCAGTCCCATTTTGGCTACATCCAAGCTTTAGGAAGGATGTGTGGGCTCACTTTACATGAGGTTCGATCCTTGGTTCACAACGGAGAGTTGGATATTCCCTGCCTCATTCATCAATTTTCTGAAGCTGGTGACCGTGACGACCGTCTTTGGCAGAGTTTTCGACAGCATGCCCTCTGTTTGTGCATGTAGGCACATTTTCTTCTTGCTTCGGGTTTCAGAGGGTCTAACATTCGGCTAGTTGAAGTGGCACAAGGCTTGAAAGAGGGCAAGAGTTGCATTGGTTTGGTATTGGCTAAGACTTTGATAGGCTTAAATGCCTTCCATCGACGATAGATAAACAAATTTGCGAGAAGTCCACTACTTTTGCAGGTAATATTTCCCACCCTCTCTAATATGTGTTTCTCATATCACTCGGTACTCATGCTCTATTTTTCTCTCAAAGCCCTTTTCTCACTTTTTCTCTCAACATACACCTCTCTATTCTTTAAGTTCTCTTTTCTTTCATCCCTCCCCAGATATGGCTCATGGACAGGTTGAAGGTAGTGGACTCTTGCCTTGCATATTTAGCACGAGGCTATTTCTTTTGCCAACGACTAGTTGAATTCCCGAACGAGGGATAGTGGTGCCATTGGATGTGTAACAGGTCTGCTATTGACATTGCTTGGCGTTGCCCCTGGTTTGATCTACCCGAGATGAGCACATGGCTCGGCAACCCAACATTCAACTGATTGGCTTAACACACTGCGTATTCTACTTTCCATTCCAGTTCAGGTGTTAATTCGGACATGACTAGACTTGCCCATAAGAGGGGATAGAGTACCCGACTTCATTCCTAATCCGAGATTCACAGTTGGCTCGATAACCCAATGCTTGGAGGATGAGAGAGCTTCTGGCTCCTGCCCTTAGTTTCAACTGCGCTCTTTTTGGCGAGTGCTTGACTTGGCTTGAAGATGAGGCGCAGGCTGGGCCTACTTTAGCATCTGCAGCTTTCACAAGCTCAGGGAGGGGACGCAGGAACACCTGACTCGTCTATGTCCCAAGTTTATTGCTTTGATCTAACTTTTCAAGTTTTCTTATTGAATGTAATAAAAGCAACTTTGATTTGTATCGCGAGTTGGAGAACTTTGTATTGAAATTAATGAAATTGAAGTTGTGGGCACTGAAAATTTTTCATTTGGTCCAAAAATAGTCTAAGTTGTAAAAAGATTAATTTGAACAAAATCAACTTTTATCAAAACTTTTCAAACCATTTTCGATAAGAATCACAACTTGACACACATGGAATTCATCCACGAGATGTACAACCTCGAATCCAGGAAATGAAAAATTGCCCCTTGTCTGAATAGCACTGCATTGTACTGAAACCAGCTCTCATAGTGAAGATCACAATCGAACTCTTGGATACAGAAAAGACAAAGATGACCTGAACGATCTCATAGATAGGACAGTTGAGTTGAAGTGTTTACGACTGAACTTCAGAATGAAGTTGCCTACATATCCTAAAGATGGGAATCAAGCCTTACGTAGTTCGGTTCGAGTTCACTCGTGTATTGACACTTTCCTTTTGCGCTCTAAGTTTTGCCTAGGTCGCCCTTCCAGGTTTTCGGCCTAGCGAGCATCTTAAGGGAAATATTTCTTCAACTTGTCCATGTTGACCGGTTGGGAAAATTCTAGGCCATCCAGGTCCATAAGAATGACAGCTCCACCTGACCAGATTGATTTGATGATATAAGTGTAGACACCCCATTTTTGACCGTCCTCAAGACTTGGACGTCATCGTTTGAACATTCGATGATCATCCATGTTCGTGTTCATCTTGAGTTCTCGGAGGCTCCGGTCGCGCGCCTTGCCTCAAGACCTCTCGACTTGTTTATTTTGTGCTTGGTTGTATACCAAACACTTGTGTTTTTGCTCCTAAGGGCAGGGAATGGCTTGTTGGCCATCCCCACACCTCACCGGCCTTGGCTTGAGGCCACCAGCCCTGTTTTCTTGCTACTGGCCAAAGATTTTGGTCGGTCGGCAATGTTTTTGGTCGGCTGGCCATTTTTGTTAGTCAATCGGCCATATTTTCCAGCCGAGCCCTTTCCATCTGCTTTTGACAGATATTTCATGCCAGCTGTGACAGCTGGCATCCACATTTCCCCCCCTCCATACACGTGTATGGAGGGATTTGCCTCTTGTTTAGCTTCTCTTGGATTGAGAATTTGAACCTCTATAAAGAGGGAGACCCTCCTCCCTTCTCTAGGTTCAGAGAATTAGGGTTAGGAAGTTTGTATCTATCTATCTCTATAATTCCCTCTATTTGCCTTTGTGTGTGTGTTTTGTGCTCTAAAGTGACTTTTGTTCACACTATTGCACACAAACACCTAGTGTTACACCATCCTTGGTTGCTGAGGCTCTAAGGAGTTGTTGTTAGGGTTCTTGGGCTGGTTTTGATCCAAGGAAGGTGCTGGGGTGGTGTTCTTGAAGAGGTTCTTCAAAGGTGAGAGCATACTCTTTTTATTCTCCATTTTTGCACAAGCTTTTAGCCCATCTTGCATATTGTTTTAAGCTTCGACTATAACTGATAAAAGTTCTGATTTTGTGTGTTTTAGAACTTTGTTTAAGGTCACTTTGAGGTTTGGGGTTGTCTCCCCCCTCCAAGGCCTTGTTAGGCCTTATTTTAGGCCATACCTTTTGGCCATTGTTTTGGTCTTTGCATGACCTCTCTACCACTAAAATCCAGAGGATTTTCAATAGTGGAGAGGTGGTTTTGAGGTCCTAAATAGGAGAGGGTCATCCCCTATCCTTGTTGTCTTTAATGCTTGCATAAATGGCTTATGTTGTAGCATGTTTACCTAGCTTGTTTTAGCTCCATTTCAGCATGTATTAGGCTTTGTTTTGCCATGATACACCTCTATTTTGAGTTGGTTTAGACATGCCATGTATGCTTCATACACTTGTCTTGTAATCCCATGATTTGGCCTTAACATGCATCATGTTGTAACATGTGTTTTTAGCATGATTTTGGCCCAACTCCATGAAGCTTTTAGGCTTGTTGTAGCATGCTTAAGTTCTGTTTTTCATTGATTTGGCCATGCTTGCATTGCTTTGTATAGCTACCATGTAATCTAACTTGTTAGCTTTGAGTGTCCAAGTCGCTAGCATGCTCTATGTGGATCATTTCAGTGGTTTGGCATCACTTAGAATGTTATTTCAGTCCATATTTCATACCTATAAACTTACACTTATCACTCCTTTAATGTCTTAAAGAGTTTGTGTTTTATGCTTCTTGAACGGATCATTGCGTATGCTTCCATGCTTAGGCCATTTGGATGCCATCTAAGTGTGTTTTTGAGTCCCTTTGACCCTTCGGGACTTCCCATGTATGGCCATGGTTTGAGCCCTTTGGTTAACCTTAGGCCTTGGACCTTCGTGCATGCTTTGCTTGCTTTATTTGGTTGATTTGGCCTCATCCCTCACATATTTTCAGAGCTTAATGCATTGTCATTTTCTCACAATTATCACATCTTGCTCATGCTTGAGGATTGTACATGGTTGCTTAAGTGTTGGACCGCTCACTTGTGCATGATTGTTTTACATTTTCATGCCTCCAACTCTTGACTTTGGCCACTGATTTGGGCATGCTTGTGAGCTATCCATGTTAGTTTAAGTCCATCTTTTCATGTTGTTGCATGCTTGTCTTGCATATTGTTACATGCTTGCTCCATTTTGCATGTTGTTGCATGCCACACATGTCCACATGTTTGGGTTGCGTGTCTATTGCATATTACATGCTTGCATGCTTGTGTTGCTTTGTTAAGTTCATCATGCACGTATTACATTGGTCTAGGTATACATGCCTTTGCATGTTGTTACATGTTAGTTCTATTACATGTTGTTGCATGCCAAGTCCATTGCATGCTTAGATAGCATTGCATCATGTGTGCATCCCTTGCCTCTTGATCAATCATGATAAAGGTTGGGGCCCCCTTACGTGTTATATGCATTGCATTCCA